TTTTTTGCTAAGGCTGCCAAGGAAAATTGATGGGGCTGGTGAGAGCGAAAGAGAGGAAATTTCACGAAACATGAACATGTAATTCCATAAGATCGTGCCCGATAAATATGAGAATTGAAATAAATGCCAGTAAAATTGACAAGGTGGAGCCTCCAGCTCCATTTCATGGGTGTTTTAGAGCACCTCCGGTTCGCCCACCCACCGCATATTTTTTACGAGCCCCCGTCGAAGATTACAAGGCTCGACTTGGGTGCGTGGGGCGACATAAAATCGAATGGCTGCATTCGTTCCCTCCACACACACGTTCACGGGAGGGTGGATGAGTGGCAAAAATTGCTGCTTCAGGACTTTCCACGAGCGCTGGGAAAAAGCATGGCGAAGGAGGGGAGATAAAGGTGAGAATGGGCGGTGGACCTTATCGTAGGAGGAAATTGCTTTTCCACCTCCACCACCGCTTCTTGTCTCTGCGGCTGAGACACACGGGTGGTTTTTTTCATCAGGCAACTGGCGAGACGGTATGAGAACTCCCAAAGTCCCTAATATGAAAATGGTGACATCCAGACTTGCCAATATCTCCAGATAAAGCGTTCAAAGATGATGCATTCATATCTGGGTGAATTTCAAGAGTATTTACGCAAAAACTCAGCTTTGTACGTATCCTAGAAAAACAAGAAAATCTCCCGAAGCCCTTAAGCTTTGCTTGCGAAAAAATTGATTGTCTACATCGCGTACAGGAGATCAGAAACTTTTATCGTCAGTCTTATCTACAATGAGAATTAGTGGGATTTTGCTCCAACTCGGCAAAAATCGCTTATTTTTTCAGTCCCTCTCTCTCAATCAGGCGCCGGAAACAAGAATCACCTGGGGGGTTGGGCGGGAAAGTCAAGAAAGTGGGTGAAGCAATCGATTTTCCATAAGGCACTCACCTCCAGCATCTCGCTGAGAGAGCTGGAAAACAAGAATTGTGGGCGGGATGGGGTTATTTTGAGCGTCATTACCAATTTGGGGTTATTCTGAGTTATGCCCGTGTTTCTTAGTTATAAAGCATTTGACATTCTGGAAGTGTCTTGCATATTTTTACATTTTTGTATTAATATTATGTAATTGTAACACTGAACTTTAGATTAAAACAAGGGGTCATATTTTACTTGAAATTGATGAACAACCATCAGTTGTATAAAGAACTGTTAGATTAAATCGATGATTTATTTTACCGCTAACTTCCAAGTTGTTATCTTCTTAACATTCTTAGACTCAGATTGGGATTAGACAAACATATGTTTGGGAATGTATTTGGAAATTGTTTGATTGGTTTAAGAAATGTGATAAGAATTGTTGAAATGTTTTTAGTCATATTATTTCCTCCTTTGATTGAAATACTCATCTGTGACGGGACAAACTTTCCGGTGAAACTCCGTCGATGTTTGTGCGTTGACGGAAAAGGGGTGGCTGTTCTACTTAAAGCGTGACGCAGTTTGCGGAACTCAGCCTTTGTGCCTCTGGTGAATTTCCCAGGAAGACTGTTCCCAGTCCTCCCGGCCATAAAATCATCCACCGTCCCCGACAATTGCGCAGAAAATGAGCTCAATTTCCGGACACATTGATGACGATTTTCTGTGGGGAGCGCTGAAGAAGCCACAATTTAATTGGGGGTCACATTTGCCTCACGATTACTTGCCTCCCTCCGCGCGGGCAATAAAATGCGAAATGAGATGGCACAACAAACACATCCCATCAATTTCAAAAGTGCCTCTCACACTCCAATTCAGGATTTTTCGCATATTTGCGAGGGGAGCAGCTTTTCGGCGCTACTCAAGGGTACTTTTTGAGATGTTCCTTCGGGATTGTGTGCAGTTTTGTTGGAATTTAATTATATTTTATGGGTATGTCGAGCATCTTTTGATAGCTGGCTAAAGTTTCCTGTGGCAAAAAATGTGCTGCACGGCAAAACAGTACTTTGAATTTGAATGCGAACCCAATAGAATGCCATAGACGTTTGAATACGCGCTCGAAGCATTCCTCCTCGTGACGCTGGATGTGAATAGTCAAGTGGCCAAGCAAGGAGGAATGCGAGTTTGCAAAGAAATTGGTCACTGAGGGAATTTTTACGAGACTGAATTATTTCCAAGGACTCTTTCTGGGGCTTTTACTGCCACAGCGATAAAAAAAAAGTTCAGCAAATGCCAGCATTTGGCGAATACCTCTTATCACGTGATCAGAGTATGTGGTAAATGCCGAATGAATGGTTTGTTGATTGTGTAGAAAATATTGAAAAGTTCCTCAACGGGGCTTTGTTCGCCCGCCCATTCACTCGATTAGTGCTCGAGTGGGTTTTTCTGCGGCTGATGGGGAGTCTAGATAGCAAATTGTACAAAACCGCGCCTCCTCGCGAGGGTGGTGTGGGGCTGAGAGTCTAAATTTATGGTTTGACGATAAAGGCAAAGCTACCGAACTCACTCACAAGCGCGGCCAAAGTGCAGAAGCGAGCTGGAAATGTTGCAGGCTCCCTTTGGAGCACGATGTGAAATCAATTCCCTCGTGCGGGGACTTTTATTGTCACGTTGAATGAGATTGTGAGTTATTCTGGGAGCAAACATTTCACATGGGGAAGTTTATTGCCAAGGGTTTTTGATAGTTTGTGAGGAGGAAATCAAATAAGTGCACGAGGGGGTTAAAGATCGAGAAGTTGGAGAGATGAAATTGGTGATAAATTGTCTTGCTTGTGGCATTTTTTCCCTCTGTTCGTTAAAGAAACTTTTCCGGGAAGTCTCGATGGGCAAAGAGTTAAAATAACTGAGAGAAGAGAGTTCGGAGTTGATCGGGAAGATAGATGAGGAATTTTCTGAACTCATTGTCAAAGGGTTCCATTGAAATATTCTTCCGATTCGGTTAATTCATCGTCTTCTGTCGGATTGAAAGGAGTCTTCGATTGGGGAGTAGAAAAGCTTTTGCCGTGGAAAGCTCTGAGTTCAAGTATCTTTCGTGTAATTCATTCGATAAAGATTTGCAGTGTTAGCACAAGTTGAATAACTCTCCTTGTGCGACGAAATTGGCCCGGAATAAACCCCGTGCGATTCTGCATGCTCAGCGGGAATTCACGGAGAGTGTCAACGAGCCCGGAGGCAACTCATGATGCGCCCAGATTACTGCATGCGGAATTAATTGGATGTGACACCCATCATTTGCATTGAAAGTGATTCGCCAGATGCCGAGAAGGCTTTCTGACTTCGTGAGTGATTTAATTAGAGATACTCTGTATGTTGTCACGTGAAAGGCGCAGATGAGGTGCCTTTCATCCCTGATAGAGTGAAAATTCAGACAATTTGCCGTCAAACGTGTCTTGGAAACTTCGAAGCTCATTCGGCTACAAATTGTGTTTGATTTCCCCATTACATACATACATGATATCTCTAGCGCAATGCTTATGGTATTACACATTCACCACGGAGATATTTGGGTGTACCCATCACGTGGAGCATGTTAGCGGTGCAGGGGGAGGCTCAAATCCCAATGTTCACAGATTCACTCATCAGAATGTTGTCAATTTGCTTCTCTGCAGTGGAATTATCTGAAACGGGGTGACTAGAATAGTGGCAGATGAAAGAAAAGCCCTCAAAGTCCTCAACAAACGCAACCTCTCAATCATTTCACACTCCATTCAACACGCATCTTTGCATGAGTGTAATTAACATGGATTGTGTGCTTTCCAAAGGGTGAACTTCCTCAAACAGATGTATACCTACTTGACAAAGTTCAGGAATGGTGTGTACAGTTGGGGAAATTTAAGCAGAATCACTTAGAAAAGAAGATTTCTTCCAATCAAAGTTGGATCTACAAGTAAGCTTTCACCTCAAAATTCCCCTTTGCAGAAAGCTTCTGACAATCCACAAATGGTTTGTCTTGAGTAGTAGAGAATATCATTCTTCAGCTATCAGTTATGCGGCGAGAGCAAATACTTTCCGGTTCTCATTCTGTACTTGGAATTTGAATAATGCGACTGGGATGGTTTCACTTGAATATTTTTGCATTCAAGTCTCCTATCCTTGCATTGCAGCTCGGTCCGAAGGGCAACGGAGAGACAGTGTTAGTGGCACAGAAGAATTTCTGGGGCGAAACAGGAGCAAAGACATCTCGAAGGGGTGGGAATTCAACGGACTGAATAATGTGGTGCTTGCATGTGAAGCATCTGGGCTGGATGTTAAATGTTCTTTATGTCTTATGTGTTGATTTGCCAGTCGGAAATTCCATTTCTCTCACCAGTAGAGGTCCTGTTGACTTTGCAGAGCAGAACATTCAACTCCAGGATGATTTTCTTCGTGGCACAAGGAGGTGCACAGCAAACTTGCCCTCTGTTCGTCTGTGACAAGTCTCAAAGTAGAGTTCTTCTTCCGTTTGACTTCACGCTCATTTGTGTGAATGACTCCGTTTCATGACAACAGAGCCATTCAGTGTAATTGTCTCTTAGCTTTTTCCTAACTCCGTTGCCAATTTATAGTCTGATAAATTATTTATTGCTTCTGATTTCTCCGCAATCTCCTTGCATCTAGCGCAGAATTGTGCCCGAAAGAACACTCGGGAGGGAACATCAAAGGCAGATGACATCAAAGAAAATGATTGGATACTTCCTAGGGTGCCTTATAAACTTCGCAAAATGGAAAAATGTCTCACAGATGCTTTCACTCTCAGGGCTTATTGTTGAGCTCTTGTCGATCCTCATCATCACACTCGCAGTGGTGCAAAAGCTCTCGAAATGATCCGCCCCCGATTCGCCCCTCACAATATCAACAGTGCAATCGATTGCGCCAGGAGATTATATTCCATCGCAGGTGGTGGAAGCGTTACTCTTTTTAGCACTACAAATGATATAGAGAATCTTGTGGCATTTTTCTCAATTTCCGGTGAAATGTCTTAAAACCCTCACCACCAATAATGTCAATTCAAACAGTTTCTCAAGTTAAAATATTTACAGAGACCTAAAGCACCCTTTTCTCTCCTTTCAGCCATCACATCCACGATGCTGCCAAGGTGGATTTCTCTCTGGATCTTCGTGTGGACTTTAACTCTCCACGGAGGTGAGTAGAAAAGAACAATACACACTCTGTAAATATTGTGTCAAGGAAAGGGGTTGTGCATTTCTCTCTTTCTCACTGTTTCTGTGGCAAAGCTGACAAGGAATCCACTGAAAAGCTACGAAATAAGCAAAAAGGAAGTTTTTCTGCAGTTGACGAGCCGGGAAAGATATTGATAAAACTTGCGGAGTTCTGGGTAAAGAGTGCATTTGAGTGGCAGATATGAGTAGTTTAATATGGAAATTTCAGACGACTTTTTGTCGTTTAGTGGGTGTGATTTTTCCCTTCACGCAACTGTGACTGATTCTTAATTTATTGTATCACCAAACTTTCCACAAGTTTGGTCCCACTTGAGATTCTTCTCCTCGGAGTATTGCGGTTTGTTTGAAAGTTTTACAGGAATTGGCTCACTGCCCAAAATTCACACTATTTACTTCCTTGAGATATGACTGATTGGACGAGAGGATAGGATGAGCTCTCATAAATTCCTAGTTTTATATTATAAGTCTTCAAAGAACAAGACTAGAGGACAAATAAAAAAAAATGATGTCAAATTCTACATTACATTCCCATTAACTTTATTTTAAACACTCTTAAGTTCAATGAGTGCGACTGCCTTAGAATTTTTTCCTCGTGGTTTTTTACGTTAATTTTCCCCCTCACTCGAAAACCTTCTCAATCCTTTTCTTTATGTGTGAAAAGTTCCTTGCTTGGAGGGAAGAGAATTAATTGCTGTTTGACTTTCAACGAAATCTTCCAATGTGACTAATTAAAACATCAACCGTCTTGTTTCATCATTCGTAGCTTTTCTTCACCCTAATTTTTTCGAGGGATTTTCCAAGGAACGCGGCGGAAAATAATGAACCAAATCAATGGTCCTTTCCCCGCCCAATTCACCTCAAATTCTAATTAAACTTTCCTCGAGTGCCCCAAGATTTACTCCTTATTAACTTTTGATGTAATAAACTGTTACACGAAATGTTAAGAAATTCATGAACATTTCCATGAACTGCGAGGGAGCATATTTTTCCACACTTCTCCTATACTCGATGGCTTTCTCGGCAGATTGTGTCTCTCTTTGGGCGACAAATTGTCTGTGTTTCAAATCTAAACACTCTCGTCAGGATGACATTATATTCCTCATTCCAATGCGTGATTTTTCTAGTGGCCAGCGCCGGATTTGTCCACCATGTCATCTGCTGTCGATCTCCACTCATTTCCACGCCGATGCCCTCGGGAGCACGCTTGGGATTGTGCACGGAAGGGTTTATGGGAGGTCGCAGAGGCCTCACATCTTTCCAAGGGAACATTTATTGGCTTTTATCGATTCACTCTCCGCTGGGCTGTAAATTGTGCGCCAGCCGGAGACTATTTTCGAGTGTGGGGACTGTCGAACGATAAATAACCCCAAACGTCGATCTGCCGCCACCCTTTGCTCTTGTTTCGTTATAAATGACTCTGCTGGATGCTCTGGGCCTCGGTATTTTGAATTGAAAACAACCCCTGAAGAAAGTGTTTGTGTAAGTGGTGAGAAATTGAAACTCCACGCTCGATTGTATTCACTCTCCCACAAAATTCACTCCTCCACTTGTGGCAAAAGGGCCAACAAACGAGGGGCGAACAATTGGATGAGGATCTGCATTGCAAAGACTGATTCAATTACAGAGTTTTTTTTTACCACGGGGAAAAAAGTGTGAAAACCCGAAAAATTCTCTTCCAAACAGTATCAAAAATGTCATGATTAATAGAGTGAATTTGCTCGCCTTTCTGGGATAGTTTACCCTTTTGTTCCTCGCAATCCTTGTGGTTGGTTTCCGCGTGGGGTTTTTGTGCCTTCGCCACAAAGCAATCAATTATGGATGATGAAAGTTGAGTCGAAATGCGAGAAGGAGCGTGTTAAAGGAGATGAATTGACATGAAGCATCTTGTAGGGAAAATATTTTACCCACACCGAATTCGTGAGGATTGTGCCGTACGCCAAATGTCCTCGAGAGGACAATTGATGTCCCCAGAAATGGGCGGCTTGATGCTTTTTCACATAGCAAATAGTTACATGAAATGCTCTCGCAGTTTGTCGTGATTTAAAATGACATAACTAAAATGAATGGTGCAATAAAAGTGACAAGATGACCGAAGCGAGGGAGTGAAAAATACGCCTCAAATGTCCTGGGCTTCAGGATGTGGAGGAACAATACGTTGGTCCCTGGCGAGGCTCGACATTACATCGGGAATCAATTAATTGAAAATGGAATCATTTCCATTGATGTGCATCCAATGAGGAAAATTTAATTATTTTCTCCAGTGAATATGTTTGCCGAGATGGAATTTAATGTGATTGCACAATCCTCCCCCTTTCCGCCCGTTTTCATTCTGGTTTATAGATTTTAAAATTAATTTTCCCTCTTTACCACAAAGAGGAGTAAATATGTGGCTGACATTTTTACAGCGGGAAAATTGAAAATATTGTTGAAATTTTGTGACTTGTGAAATGAAAAACTTGGAAAACACATTTAACTTTGAGCAGAACCATCAAAATTGTTATTACATCAATACAAAGTATGATTTATTTCGTCAATTCTTACATTACAAATTATTTCCATAATCTTTAATCGTCATACAAAAATTTAAGGGTGAATTTACCCATATCAAAAATATCGTTTCTTGCATTGTACAATGAGAATACAAGTCAATCAGATTTATCACATATCACACTACCTCTGAAATCTCTACATTCCCGATCATCATCAGCGTGTGGCCGGGAAGAAAATGACAATGGGCAGTGCAGTGGTAAGATATCCCGTGGGCGACAATACTCTAGCTATGCTCGTACAAAAGGTATTTCTTCAGGACGCCCGGCACGAAGAGCGACGGAACGTTCTCGGGCAGCGTTCTGCCCAAGAGGCGCCTGAAGAATGTCCTGCACTGCGCCTTCAACGGGACGGGATTTGTGGCGGTATCGAGAAGGCGTTGCTTCTGCTCATCTGTGAGATAATTGCTGCGTCGTATCATGCAGGGATCGAACTCTTCGGCGGCGGCCAGGAGATCGGTGAACACAACGGAATTGGCGGGAACGTGGGCCAGGCAATTGAGGAGCCCGTCTGGGTCGCGGTACTGTGTCTTCAGGCACACCTTGGCGCCATATCGGAGCAGCAAATGCAGCTCCTCGGCGGTTGTGGTTTCATTGCTGGCCAAAAGCTCGGCCAAGGGCGGCCTCAGTGTTTGATTGCTGTCCGGTTCGCTCTCCACTTTGATGTTAGGATCTGCACCGTAAGATAAGAGCATCTGAAAAAAGAGACGCTTATACTATAGGAATTTCTGGTCATACTTCGGGAGTCTTACTTTGAGAATTTCAACTCTGTGAGGAACATTATCGGCACAGGCAACATGCAATGGCGAGCCAATGACTGGACTGCTTCTCTTCACGCTGGCGCCTTTCTCGAGCAGCAAGCGTACAAGTGCTGGATCTCCACGCAAGATTGCGAGATCCAGTGGACTGGGTCTGTCAGGCTCTGGAAAAGGAGCAGGAGAATCAATCTTCGCCCCCTGTTTGATGAGGAGATTCACAAGGCCATTGTTTCCGGACAACACGGCATAGTGAAGAACTGTGCGGTAATCATTTCTGGCATCAGACATGGCATTCACATCCGCGCCATAGTGCAGGAGCAGAAGCACCTGTTCCAGACCGTTCGTGTGGCGAGCGGCGCGCATCAGGGGCGTCATGCCAGATCTGTCTCGCGTCTCAGTGTTCGCTCCGTAGGTCAGCAGTAAGTCCAGAGCTTCCGTGTCGGACACAAGATTGATCTCAGCGCCGAAGAAGTAGCGTTTGTTGGGATCGGCGCCGTGTTCCAGCAGCAGCTGGGCCACGTCGAAGTGCTTATTCCGCAGGGACAAGCGCAGAGGCTCATCGCAGAGTGTCGTGCGTGGGAAGGGCTCGTCAGTGGGCTCGCGATAGTCCACTTTGGCTCCCGCTTCTAGCAGCATTTGGGTGAGCTCGTAGTAGCTGAAATACAGAAGGTCTGTTTTAATGTACAACCCTTCGAGATTGTTCGATTGCTATCAGCAGAGATATGGGGTAGTATTTCGGTGCCTCGCCCATAAAGCATATTTTCATAAACAATCAAAAATAATCACGTATTTCTGGCATCAATAAAAGATGTGATTTCCACTGTGGCTATATTTTTCATGCCCTATAAAATTCCTGAATGTCTCATTCAGCCGGGCTGGGCTTTATGACTGCGCTCGCCAGTGGTAGGAAAAGAAGAGGCGAAGGGGGCAATTGCCCTGGGCGCAAACAAATCAAGGGCGCCAAAATCAAGTGAGAAAAGCAGCTGAGTTTAAGTATAGAAATGCTTTCCAACTCTACTGAGCAAACATATCTTGCGTGTGCAATACTTTCACTCAAAAAATATGTGATACGAAAATCAGTCAGTTCTAAATCTTCTCGATAAATAAGGGCATCACAAGATTGTAGTACGCCTCTGGTGCTTACCCATGTTCAGAGGCCAAATGCAGGGCGCTGTAGCCGCAATCGTCAGTGGCGTTGATGTCCGCTCCGCGCACCAGAAGCAGATTCACCGCCGGGACGTTCTTCTGCCACACGGCGTAGTGCAGCGGACGCAATCCCTGCGTCACGGGCTCGTTCACCTTCGATCCGCATGCCAAAAGGATGCGGATCTCGTCGAGAGGCAGCATCCGGACGATGGCGTCCGCGAGGGCCCTCTGATGAGGATTCGCCATACACTCGGTTGGCATGTCCAAAGAAAAGCGATCTGCAAGTGCACGAGAACATTGCCATCAATGAGGGCACCTTGTAAAGAATGCAGAAAGTGATGATATAACTCTGTGTCTTGAGGCTTTTTTCCCTTTCTGTGAAATCAATGAAAATTTCACACTCTCGCAGTAATGGCGAATGAAATTCCCACGTGAAATTTTGCACACTACCCAAGCCTGAAGTAACGATTCTCGCGTAAAAAGAAAATTGGCATGTGAAAATTAATTTCCAATCATGTCTGAAATTAACTGCCACAAATAATATCCATTGACCTCGATTCATGCTGACTTGTCCAAAAGCGATGTGTTTTCCGCGTGGCGGCTATGAATTTATTTTGAGAAAATTCACAACTTGAGATTTCCGCGCGCTCCCGTTTCACGGCGGCTGGCGAAAAATTGCGCACTTGAGCTTTGAACTCGTGTGTTTTCCCACCAAAACGCCGGACTTTTTCTTTGCGAAAACAAAGACTTTTGCGACGTTATTTTCTCCGCGGAAATTCAACTATTCTATCCACTCTGGTTAGGCGTAAAATTGGGAGATTTCTGAGGTGTGCGCTCTTTTCACACGCAAAAAGCAACTTGCGTCTCAGACAACGATTCTTTTCGTACTGAAAGGCCTCAAAAATAGCTTCGTGATGCTCTTCTCTGTGTGAGATCATAGGGAAAATTGTCGCGAAAAGACCGACACACACGGATTGTGCGTGAGGCGAAGGAAATGACAACATTCTGTCGGAAAAATCACACAATTGCTTCAAAATGTATTTTCACTTATGATGATATTCCTGATGAAAATGATTCTAAAAATAAAAGGTTGTAAAACATGCCAAAATAATACTTACGGTGCAATCAATCAAAAGATATTTTAATTGAGTTGTCTTCTGATCACTTCAAAGGATTGTCTTTCGAGTTGAAATCCTATTCAAATGTTCGATCACTTTGTAGAAAAAAATCAGTTTCAAAATCTCTTCACAGTCTTTGATGAAAATTCACAGGAACAATTCACTAAAAGTCTTCATATGGAAAGTCTCAAACTCTGCTCGTCGATTTCCTTCCACGTGGATCTTCCACAGTTAAAGACAAAGAGGATAACTCCACTTCATATAACTTAAGACATATGAAGCACTTTATCTGCTCCCAATGGCTCTTCAGGAGATGTTTTCACCAGCTAGATCGTCAATTGACTGAGAGCTCCAAATGTCTGGCGCAGTCTAAAGTACAGCAATAATGTGGAAAAACAGTGAGGCGTCTATCCATCTCACTTCATCGCACAGTGAAAATTTTCCCCCTTATTTGCGCCAAACATTTTCCTATGTGTGATCTTTTCTTGTCTGTCTCCTGCTGTTTATCTGAGAGATGGGAAAATTGTCTACATTTATGAGTTTGGTTGTGTACACAATTATGACACTAGCAAAAAAATCACTATTGAATGCGATTAAGGATAGTTTAAAAGTATGCAATCTGCTTTGTGGGTAGTCAAATGAACCATTTGTGGATCAGCATTATTTATCTAATGTCGATTGGTTACATGTCAACGCAGCTATGATGACATTTAGCATTGTAGCGTCTGTAGCTATTGCTTATCTCAAGCAACGATAGAAGTCTAGAGAATTTTAACAAATTTCAAATATTCCCAGAAAGCCCATTGCAGCATTTATTGTAAATACACGTTTAGTGTAATGTAGAAAATAGAAATTATCCAACGCTTCCTCTGTTTTTTGTGCGATCTTTGTTGATCTCCTGGGCGGAAAGGAAGAAAGAGAGCGAACCCGAGAAAAGATCACGAGACAGTGATCTTCTTTGTTCATCTTCCTGTGTGTTCATTCGCCTCTCTGGGAAAAGCTGCCTATGTGCCCCGAAAGAGTCCAGACGTGAAAATTGCAATTTCCCATTAACCAATCGCTTGAGTTTCCCGACAGAAATGTTGCTTACAAAGCCTGTTTAACACTTTCCAACACTGAATACGGATAAAAGCAGATAAACAGGTGATCGTTAACGATCAATTAAATTAGATTTTTCATTAAAATTGTCAATTAAACAATGTAGTATTCTCGTCTCCCTCTCACCTCAATCGTTTCGTCTCATTTGTGTCAGTTTATTTCAATTAATGGCAAAAAGAGTCTGTGTGTGAATTTTCGCTGAACATCTGATTGAAATTGGCGAACGGCCAAATTGATCTCTCGCCAAAGACGAAGTAGGAGAGACTTTTCTTTGTTGTGTGCTTCAATTGATCACTAAAAACTGCTGCTTCTCTGTGTGTCAACACTCTCGCACCCAAATTATTGCTGTCTTCTGAAGGTGTTTGTGATCATTTGCGTCTGATTCCCACATGAGAAGAATATGCGCTCCTTGTTTCCACAGTCGCGTGCGTTCATTCTTATTCAGCGGCATTGTTGTTCAATAAAAATGGGATAGGTCAACAATTTCATTTCCACAGAAGTTGGGGTGAATTTGCGCAATAAACAAATAGCTGGTGAAATAAGCGCAATTTCACCAGAAAGACACACTATTGATCTGTTTCTCTGTGCTTCTATACTGCTCTGTTCGGTAATTGAGGCTAGCGATGGGAAGATTTATGGTTAGGCTTAGAAAGTCGCGTCTTTGTCCTATTTCCCGTCACAACTTGAACTCGGTTAGTGCGAGAAGAGATGCTGAAAATAAATATTAAATAAGTTCTTTTGCTTCCTCGAATGTTTTGCACCAGAAAAAAAACACACACAAAAACGCTAATGGACAAAGCCAACAGAGGAAAATTCAAAATTTTTCTTTCTTGCATTGTTCTCGCACAGTATGTGGCATATTGAGTGCACATTCAGCAGAGAGGAGAGTCAGAAAGATTGACCATCCGGGATAAGTTTGATATTTTACGAGTTGCTAAATATTCTCAAGTTTCCTTCCTCTGCTGTTCTCGGCCAAAGTCTCTTGACAGACACTTTAAACTCAGAGACAATTACAAGGGTTCAAGAAGTTTGTCTTGCAGACGCTGCAAAAGGCACAAATTAGCTCAATGCTTTCATAGCATTCACAGTTTATGCATTCAATTGGGGATTAAAACGTTCACTGACCAAGAGGTCAATTTATACTTATTTGTTCTGGATAAATCACATATTCACTCAGCTTGAGCGCTTTTCCAGGGAGTGAATTCAGACTCTCTAGGTTTTCCTGGCACATTGCAGTATACTATTAACATGGAAAGCTAATATGCATTGCATTTTACGAACTTTAAAATTATGCGCATTCCCCAGTGAAATGGCCGCTAAACATGCTGCAATAGATATGATTCGATTCTACTCATTTTACAGCATATCTATTCAACTGAATTGCTATTTAGTGATGTTTTTAGGAGTAAATGGCAGAATTTGGAAAACTGATATAAAGCATTTATGCTGTTTGCAATAGTCAAAGGGCTGAAATTCTGTCAGAGACTGACAAACAAAATTTTTGTATTCTCTTTACATTGAGTGTTGACGCATATTTGTTGATATTATACTTTAAATTATGCATTAATAAATGCTCACAGATAAATCAACATGAAATATTATGTAAATTAATATCTTTTTCGAATAATTTTGCATGATATTTAGTTCACAATTTGCATGGCATTTGAATTAATAATATTTCATTTGTGGCAGAGTTGTGCTGTTGATGAAATATTCCCTCTTTGTGCAAATGTATGTTGAGATGGGTGCAAAAAATTAATTAATGTCCCACCTAATTTAATTAGGATTATTCTATCAATTGAACTATTCAGGTAGTGTATACAGAACGTGATTTATGTGTCTTTTATATCCACAATTACTGCACATAATTGTCCTCATCCATCGTGCTTTTCGGGATGCTAAATAGCTAGAGCGATGGTTCGGCTCCGGGCATTTATCACGGGGTTGAATTTTGTAGAATTGATGCAATTAATTTCTCTTGATTCTAATTTAGCTCTTGGGCGCGCGGGGTGAATGAGCTTCGGGAAATAATAAAGCGCTTCAAATAGGATGCTGATGGGCATGTGGCTTTGCGTGTGGCACATTTCTTGACCAGTGCCGCCCGAGAGCTTTTCTGTGATTCTCAATTTCATCCCCACATTCGGTGGCTGCTTGTGTGTAGTGTAATAAAAAGCACTTGCGGCATAAATGGGACATATTTCATTTGCATTTCCCAACGAGCCGTAAACAAGCGGAAACGTCGGAAGCATTTATTACATTTTCAGGTGGGATACAACCGAATGGGCCTTTGAAGCCTTTCCCCTCGTACGCAAATGTATGAGGAAAGTTTGTCGAGTGGCACGAGGGAAGTGTGTCGGATTTGCATTTGCTCTAAAAGTGAACGTCAAGCTTTGGCCCTCTCGAGTATCAATTTCAGTGGCACAAGTCAAAAAGATGCACACACATACTTTGCAACATCCTGGGGATGAAATATGTGGTTTGGGGAATTGATGGAAGTGCTGCGAGAGAAGGAAAGAGCTTTTCACTTTGGCGTAGAATGTGTGTAGAGGGAACTTCAGAATGGCGAGAGAAGTGCAAGAATTTATGGTGATTTCCAAGATGTTAATAATAATATTCCATAGATTTTCTCTGGCATCGAAGTGTCTTTAATATCACTGGACGCATGTTTCACAACAATATTAAAGACATGCTGTAGCACTCATCAGAAAGCCACCCTTTAATTTCGCCTTATTAGAAGAAGAGAGAAATGCCACAGGAGCGGTGCTTCAAAGTATAACTCATCAAACAAGACATACCTGAGGGAAAAGCTTTGCATGTCAAGTAGATCATTTTGCTTCGCCCAAAAGCCCTTGTTGATGAAGAGAAAACAGACAGGGAGGGTATCTCGGTGAAGGGATACATAAAATTGAATTCTGCAGGTGAAAAATTGAGTGGATTTGCGAGTGGAAGCTCAGTCACACGACGGAGAAATGCTACAGCAGACAATTTGATGTTTGTGCAGAAGAGAAGTAATTTTCTTTTGTTTCTCCAATTCCAGGTGAATGCAATCTTCCACCTGTTTTCACCCAGGATATGAATAATCTCGCCCTGTCAGAATCCACTCCTGTGGGAGCGAGTGTGTACCGATTGGAGGGCTACGATCCGGAGGGCGAAGAGATATCCTTTGGCATAGTCGGATCAGATAATTTCATGGTGAATCCGACAACAGGAGAAGTGGAAATCGTTAAAGCACTGGACCGTGAGGTAAACTCCATATGTACACCATCCTCGCTCAGCCCTGAAACCATTTCCCATCCCGGCAGCGCACTTCACTTATTCCCTTTAATTTCCAATGCCATCCCCAAGCTCGCGTGAATGTGTGTGTTGTAAATTAATTTATGCTAAATACACATGCAATTTCACGAACATTTCGTGTGGTTTTGAGAAAGCAATCTGCAATTCCTAAACACAATTTCCCCACTGATATAATTTATTGAATCCTTATCGTGTCACGAGTGACTCTCTCACTCCCCTTCATGCTCTATCAGGCCTAATTGCAAGTGGACTCGCTGAGTGATAGTCAACACTTTATCTAGATCATGATTAAAGTACTGCCTCGTTCAACAATTAATTTATGCACAGTGCCAAAGTTGAAAATCACGAAGTGTTTTAAAGCTATTTAGAGTTTCTATATATTCACCTTCATAGTTTATTGCGATAAATCAATAATACTCTCCTATATTTCGTATCTGAAGACACTGCAACTCTACTAAGAAGAAATTCAGGTTGTGTCATGAGGTGCCATCGGAATTATCCCCATTGTTGCCTTCCTCGACAGATCCTTCCCTGTCTCTCTATATTATTCATTTAATTTCCCCTCGGACGCTGTGGTGCACACATGAAATGATGGTATAATTCATTGTTGGTAATTTGTATTCGAATCAGGATCAGGACACACTCCACTTCCTCGTCACCATCAAGGATAAAGTGAACAGTACATGGGAATCTCAGAATGATAATCGTGTCGAGGTGCCAATCAGTGTTATTGTTCTCGATGAGAATGACAATGCGCCGGAATTTCAGAATGTAAGTCGCACAATATTCATTATTATCTACGTTTAATCATTTTCACCATCCCGAGTGCCTTTGCAAAGGCACAAGAGCAAGCTTACAACACTTTCTCCTCCACCCTTTTACAGCTACTAGAAATTCCATCACACGGAATGCAATTTTTACCAATTCATACCAATGTGTTTTTTGCCACTCTATCTTTTCACCCTTATTCGTTGCTCTGAAAATTCAGCCACGAGAGAAATGAATGGGAAAATCACGATGGATTTTTTTGACAATCTGATGAATTTTTCTGTATCCTAATCAATATGTTTTTTGCATTACTCTGAAATTCCATGAATTCTTGATTCTTTCCCGATTTGCTTAAAAGCTTTTACGAAGGGGTTTTTCGTGTATGTAATTTAAGCTATTTCTTTAAAAAAGAAACCCCATTTTTACGATGCAAAGTAGACCAATAGATATTTTTTTTTATCAACAAATAAGTAATTAAAGAGCTTTAGTTTTTTCTTAAATTAATTTGAAAAACATTTTAATAGTTTTTATTCGAATCTAACTTCAAGCACATTGGAAGAATATTGAGAAAGATATGAATACAAATGTGTATCGAGTTCTGTGAAAAGTGTGCTGCGGTTTATATTCCGCAATATAGGAAATTTCAGATCAAACTTATTGAACCATTCGATTTGATATGCTGTCTTCATATTTACTCAAAATTATAATACAACGCTGCTGAGACAATATTGATCTCTCACTTCAGGTGCCATATGAAACGGAAGTGCTGGAGGATGCGGAAATTGGCACAACGGTTTTCGACAAGATCCACGTTACGGATCGGGACATTGTGGGTGAGAATCTGGACATTACGTGCGTGCCCAACAGCCAGAATCCCGACGCGTGTTCTGTGTAAGTGTTGCAATCTGTTTTGATCACTCTACTGGGGATTCCCTTGATTTCGACATGGACAATAACTCTGAGGACTGGAGATGACACTCATTAATTAACACTTTGAGACCTTTTCCTCACCATCTCTCGTCCTGTGTGCGTCTGGATATTGTTTGGGGGTGAAGCGCAACAAGTGGGACAGAGAATTACTTGAATTATTTCATTCTTTTCTCCCATCCTTGCCCCTGAACCATTCGAGCTGTGAGGGTTTCAGATGGACGAATGAATAGGGATCATTTGAAATATTCTCCAACTATTCCAAGGGATTAAGTTCGCCGAGCAGAATGGATCTTCTCGAGAGAATTTCTTACACAAGATGAAAAATTACTCTCTCAATTCCCTTGAAACTTTCCCACTGTGAAATGTACTCTGTGAAGAGTTATGGTAGGAATTCAGTGTTCAATTGAGATGTTTTCTTCAAATTTGATTGAATATAATAAAGCCATATTTATTAAAAGCATAATCAAATGTCAAGTTGCAAAGCTCAAATTTTTTATTTAATTGAAGTGCAAATAAATGAAATTCGCAACACTGCCTTCAAGACATTTTTCTCTCGCCTTTAACATAGATAATTAAACATTTTGCAGCAAGAAAAAGCGAAGAAAAAGAGCTTGAAAACTCAATTTTCGCACTAACACCAAAACTCCTTTATGTAATTTTTTTCCATTTAAGTTTTCCCTCACACTCGGCGAACTCGTTAAGCGATTGCCGAGGTGGATGTGACGGAGTTTGTCTAATTAAGCAAAATAGAGTTGAACCCATTAATTTTCTATGAGAGCCGAGACTCCGGGAGCGCGCGAAAGAGTAATTGACTCACAAGGGTGTGCCAAGAAGAGGGATCTTGAATTTGTTTTTATTTTCTTTTAATTAAAAAGTCAAGGAATTTATTCCTCCTGGGTGCAACACAAGTTCATGAGGAGTACGAGACTCACGGCGCGCGAAATGAAGCTTTCACAGTGCCATTCTGGTGTGTACACAGGATGAAGACAAGGGCCTCAAACACGAACAAATTGCTGAATAAATTGACATCATTCTCTGTCTCTCACCCTCATGCTCCTCCGCTTCATGCATGTTCTTTCCAAAATACACTCCAATTATTTCCTGCTTGTTCCCTGTCTGTGTTGCTTTCTTTTTCCTAACTTGACGCCACCATTTGCTTACTAATTTACATTTATTCCCGCAATTTCTTCTCATGGATAAAGGACACTTTTTCCCGTTCATGTCATCGCAAATCCTTGAGGAAATTCTCTGTTTTTGGAGCGATTTCCCCTTTAAACAACCACTAAATCGAGGAAGGGGATGCAAGAATTGTGAAAGAGGACGACTGATTGCTGTCGCCACAATTTGTCTTTTCTCTTGTTCATCTTGCATTTCCATCCCTTGAAGCCAAATAGGACTTTCTCGGTGCTTCAGAGTTGAAAAGGACATTGATAAACACCCTTCTTGTAAAGTTTTTTTTAGGAATACTTTATAAATATCTGTCATTGTTTTCGAAATATTGCAGACTAAAACATCTGAATTAAGTACGACAGAGATTTGTACTTTAGCCTTCTTTAGTATTCCTTATAGAGTTTTGTTTCTTATTACACTTTTAACACTAAAACCTTGTAGCTTTTAAGTATCTCTATAAAGTTTGCAACTCTGTTGAGAAAACTCCCCATAAGTGAATAAAGCTCTCATCACCAGTGTGTCCATTTTGTTCCAATTTTGCAGTTTCACTTTGAAAGTTCTCCAGAGCGAGCAAGATATTCTTAGGGCAGCTGTGGTGCTTGCGGGCAAACTAGACTATAATGAACGGATGATTTATCAGATTGAGCTCAAAGCTACGGTAAGAATTCACCCATCGAGCGGGAGAGATGGAAGACACACACTCTAGGCGAAGATTGTGTGGTGATGCGTGTTAATTAATTGCAGGATGATGTTCACGTTTCAACAGCCAGTTTAGAGATCAGAGTGAAAGATGTGCAGAACGCTCCGCCCGTATTTCAAGGCTCATTGGCGTCGGTAATCAATGAGGACAGTCCCATCGGGACCCTTGTGATGACCATTCAAGCGAGAGATGGCGACCGAGGACAACCCAGGAAGATACTCTACGAATTAGTCTCGAGTATGACAAACATTCTCTCCCTTGCGACCCAATTTAATTACGCGTGCCTTTGATCTCCAACAGATCCAATGGATTACTTCCTGCTTGACTCCAAGACTGGCGAACTGAGGACTGCCAAGCCGCTGGACAAAGAAGCCCTCCCGGATGCTACGGGTCTCGTTTCGTTGACTGTGAGGGCCCGGGAGTTGGTCGACGGGATGCCAGGCAATGACGCTCTCACTATGGCCACAACTCAGGCGTCCGTCACGATTCGGGATGTGAATGATTCTCCGCCCACCTTCAATCAGAAGGAGTATTTCGTTTCGTTGAATGAAAACACAGCGCCAGGAACTCCCTTGCCACTGGAGATGAGCGTCTCTGATCCAGACGTGGGGCAGAACTCGATATTCTCCCTGAGATTGAATGATGTGTCGGGAGTGTTTGATGTGGAGCCAAAGAGAGTGGTGGGCTCATCTCAAGTGAGCGTGCGAGTGGCCAACGGCACTCTCGACTATGAGAACCCCAACCAGAGGAAATTCATTGTGCTGATAATCGCCGAGGAGACAGACACCGAGCACAAGCTCTCCTCCACGGCCACCCTCACCGTCTCCGTGACGGACGCCAACGACAATCGACCCACTTTCGAGCACGACTCGTATTCCGCCAGTGTGTCAGAGACCGCCCACGCTGGTCAGCTGATTACCACGATAACTGCGAAGGATCTGGACTCGGGCGACTTCGGCGACAGGGGTATCAGGTACTCTCTGTCCGGCACGGGCGCCGAGCTCTTCCACGTGGACCCCATCACTGGAGCCATCACTGTGGCTGAGTGCCGCGCGACAGCCAGACGCAAGCGAGACATGCCAATGAGCGCCTCTGAGGAGGCGGATCTGCTGAACGACGCCAAGAATGTCAACATCACTTATGTGGGCCAAACGGGCGTGCTGCCAGTGGAGATGTCTCGCACAGAGTCTTCCAAGGACTATGTTCCTTACCAAGTGAGCGAAAACGACTATGACTTGCTCAATTCCGCCAGTGGTGAGCATCACAACAACATTCTGGACTCCAGAGAGTCATTTGAAACCACGACGACGGACTTCACAACCGAGTTTACAACGCAAATGCCACCGGAAATGCCTAAAGACACGAGCTCGGGGCCAGGAAAAGCCCCTTGCTTGGATTATGAGACTCATCCTGTTTACTATCTCTCTTATAAGGCGATTGACGACTTGGGACGAGGTCAGACTTCTGTGGTTTCGCTTAGAATCTCTCTGATAGACGCTAATGACTCACCACCAGTTTGTGAGAGTCCAATTTATAGAGCATCTCTCGACGAGGGTGCAACTTTCTTTGACCCTCCGCTATTCGTCAAGGCTCGGGATCCTGACGCAATGTCTGACATCGCTTACAGAATCATAGGTAATTGAAAACTAAATTACACTTCAAGTCCAATTAAATTGAATATGAACTCATTTGTGCTCTTTGTCTTAAACTTTCAGGTTCTGAAGCCATACAATCACTTTTCCTGATCGATAAGCGCTCGGGTCAGCTAAGCATTGCAAAGAACGTGACGTTGGATGTGAACCACATCCATTCTGAGAATGTTCGATTCCCGGTTGAGGCGAGCGATGGTCTGTTCACGACCCTTTGCGATGTTAACATTACAATCAGAGATGTTAACAATCACGCTCCTCAATTCACGAGAGACAATTATGTGGTGACAATTGCTGAAAACTCGCCAATTGGGTCAATTGTTGAGCGAGTGATGGCTGAGGATTTGGATACAGGGATCAACGCAGAAATCCGCTATCGGCTACAATCGGGCAGTTTTGATGACTTCGCCATTGATAACCGAACGGGAGTGATTTCTATAGCGCGCAAGCTGGACTTTGACCGTCGAAACACATATCAAATGGAAGTTGTTGCTGCGGATTTGGGTACTCCCAGTCTCTCAGGCTCCTGCACAGTGACTGTGAGTATTCTGAACAGCAACGACAAGGCGCCCTACTTCACGCCAGCCACACAGAGGGCAGAAATCGCTGAGGACGCGGCTGTTGGGACTATCGTGCACACTCTCGTGGCAATCGATCCCGACATTGTGAGCCGAGAGGCGCTGGATTACGCTGCCACAGAGCCCATCACGGCTGTGGACAAGGACGGCAAGGAGGTGGTGACGGGCAGTGACGAGTTTAAGGACGTCTTCAGCGTGGACAAGCATGGGAATGTGCGGGTGAATAAGCTGCTGGACAGGGATCTATTCGCGGTGATTCGCATCACCGTCCTGGTGACGGATACCACTGCCCCATCAATTCAGCAGGGCCGAGGACTCCTCGTCATCACCATTATCGATGTCAACGAAATGCCGCCGGTGAGTGACATAAATAATTCAGTCAATTACACAGGACGGAGATTTTCTATTCTATTCTGAGCATTCGGAGACAATTTTCACACGCCCAATTTCAGTGAATTGACCAGGAATGAGACGAACTTTTCCCTCAGACTCCACAATGACGTAGTTTCCACTAGAATTTTCACTCTTCTTCGCAATGATTTTGAATCTTTCTTCAATCGATGGTCGATTCTGGCACATTGGCAAGAAGGTTTCCAGGGCATTTCGAATTATTCTGACTGGCAGTTTGGGTAATTCCATCAGAAGTGTCCAAAAGTAGTTCAAAATCCTTTTGATTGCCGCCCATATTGACTTTCTGGGCATGATTTCAGTGGTAACTTCGACCCTCTTCTCGCAGATTTTAGATAGTACTTCGTTCTTCACTTCGTTATAGCGCTCTCTTGAGAGTGTTGTGCCCAATTCTTTGACACTGTTTCGCAGTTCTTTGAGATAGCCGTGGAAAATGGTGCACGCTTTGATTGTGAGATGGGAAATAAAGACCTCCATAGCGACAGTTGAGATTATTTTTAACAGCTCAACATACGGAGGATGAATCATCGCAATATAGGATGCACAGATTCCCATCTTCAGGAATATATCCCTCATCTTAGCAGTGCAAATGAGCGATTTCAGAATCTTTGGGTTCTTTTCACAAGCGATGCTTGGCCTGAAATTGTGAAAAGATGCCGTTGTTTAATAATAAATAGATTTGTAGTAGGAAAAGTGTAATATTTACAGTGTTAAAAGCAGGATAAAGAGTGTTAGAAAGCCAGAAGAAAAATACAGCACAACCAAAATGCTGTGCAAAATTTTGTGAAAACTCTCGAAGTTAGATACTTTTAAGCTGCTGGGTAAATTCACAGTCAACTCCTGCGAAAGAATGGAAAATGAAGCGATTGAGAAAATTGCCACGGTCTAAAGTAGACTTAATCACACCTCAAAGTCTTTCTGGAGATTGTAGAGAGGACACCAATTAAGAAAGAAGATACTTATCCAGCCAATGTTCAGAAGAATCATCACCAAATTGCCTCTTGAGGCCAAAATTCTCAAAAATTGACCCTCCATTTGCCCAAAGATTTCACTGGGTGAAACAAAACCACCGTCCAAATTTTCATGTTGCTCAGATTTTTCTCCACTGGCAATAAAATATTAATTAAAATTTTACTCCCTGTGGCTTTAGAGCGGCCCTTAATTCACCACTTTTCACTCACTTCCTTCCCCCTCGCGCCGAAGGAGGATTTTCTCAGTGGGATAATTTTCATATTTCCCTTGTCTTCACCCGACAAAGGCCGTCTAATTAATTTTTCACCCAGATTTCGTGCAGCGCAAAAAGCTTTTGCTCAAGATATCTTTGTCTCTCAGGTCTTTGCCGCCCCTTGGTCACCGACAGAGCCGAAGTACACGTTCCAAATGAGGGAGGAACAGCCCGTGGGTGCCATTCTGACCACCCTTCAGGCCACAGACGCGGACTCAACAGTTGGCAAATACCAATTGGAGCATGGAAATGATTTCTTTGACATAGACGAAATCACTGGTGAGTTCATTTACATTTTACATCCACCCAATTCACTCCAACCACCTTTCTCTTTGTTTGAACAACCGTGCCGTCTGTGGCTGATTGCTCGCTAAGCCTGTAATTTTTGCTGGCGGAGTTGAGAGATTTGATTTAAAATTCCCTTAATTACAGTCACTCCCCTTTGATCTCTCAGGGAAAGTAATCAATGGTAATGCCCAGAAATGCAAATTGCACATAAAGCTCATCCCTTTCGGCTGAATTCAATGTTGCAATTCCGCTTGACTTTTACAAATTCCCCCCTGAAATAGGAATTAATATGCATGTTCAGTCACATATTTCCAGTAAATGCCAATTTATATATTGAACATTTTCCATTTTCTACCCCGAACAGGAATAATACGCACAAAGGCTCGTATTGATTACGAGAGTATCAAAAGTATCCACTTCAACGCTACAGTAACAGATACAGGAATTCCTCAACTCACCTCCACCGCCATGATCACAGTAGACGTGATAAATGAGAATGACAATGATCCGGAGTTCAATGAGACGGAGTATCGCTTCGAAGTGCCTGAGAATTCTCCACGGGGCACAATTATTGGGCGCTTGGAAGCTTCAGATGCTGACGATGGAGCCTTCGGAGAGGTTGTCTACAGCTTGGTTGGAGAGCAGAGCTCTCTGTTCAGTATTGATCCGGACACAGGAGTGATTGTGGTGCAGGACTCTTCGGGATTGGATCGCGAGCGCGAGCCTGAGATCTCAATTACCGCTGTGGCGATGGACAAGGCGCCCTCGCCAACCAGGCGTTCGACAGCCATTCCAGTGCACATTCGAGTGAAGGATGTGAACGACAATGCGCCAGTTTTCACGCAAAACAAGTATCAAGCCACGGTGGCTGAGAATGCCGCCCTGAATCCGCCGGCTGCCATCCTCCAAGTCACAGCCACGGATCCTGACGAGGCGGATTCCGGCACAGTCAAGTATTTTATCTTGTCCGGGAACGACGCTGGTATGTTCAGACTGGACGCCAGCACAGGTATTCTCTACCCAGCCATTGAGTTGAGCCATAAGAAAGGTCACTATCAGCTTCTGGTTGAGGCTCGAGACGGCAAGGGAACTGGGCCGTATTCAGACACCGCGGAAATCGCCATTGAAGTGAGCAGTGTCAATCAGCATCGCCCGGTGTTCATCATGCCAGCTCTGAACAAAGCCCTCATAGAGATTCCATTCAATGTCGTGGAGCCTGAGTATCTCGTGATGACAGTGAAAGCGACGGACGAGGACAGCGGTCTGGATGGGAAGGTGACATATCATCTTCAGGTGAACAACGACAATATTCAGGAGACTGATGAGTTCGCCATTGACGAACTGTCTGGGGAATTGAGAACCAGAAAGCAATTGGAGCGGAAGAAACAGTCCAAATACGAATTGATTCTCGTAGCCAGAGACCGTGGCCGACCGAAGCGCTTCGAGACACTCAGATTCCTCACCATTCTCCTAGTGGACATCAATGAGAATCGCCCAGAATTCCCAGACGCCTCCAATCCGTATAAATTCCAAATCTCCGAGAACCGCGAAAGAGACGTGCGAATCGGGAAGATTCAGGCAATGCTCCAGGATCGCAGTCACGATGATCCGCCCACGATTTACTATTACATTATGCTGGGCAACGAAGAGGGCGCATTCTACATCGACAAGACCAGCGGAGATGTCTTCACGAATAAATCCCTCGACCGAGAGACCACAGACAAGTACATGCTGTTCATTTTGGCCAGCAAGAAGCCTGACATGGTAATCACGGACGACGACCGAGCGGCATATTCTGTGAAGGCATTGGAGAGGGACAGCACAGTGGCCAAAGTGGAGATCAAAGTGCTGGACATCAACGATAATCCGCCCGTATTTGCACCAGAAGTAAGTGCTTTTGCAATGCAACTCTCCCAAAAATTGTGTGACACTCTCTCTTTCACAGATTTACTACGCGGGCATCAGCTCAAAAGCCTCAATCAACGAATTGGTCACACTGCTCAACATCACAGACAACGACAAGGAGGAAAATGCGACAATGGAATTGATAATTGCCTCATCAAATCTGTATAAGTTCGGTTCCAGCAAGTCCACTGGCTCTATTGTGCCCAGTCCATTCGGTGAGTGCAAAACGATGAATTTAGCTAGTTCCAAATAGAAGCTGAGCACAACAGAAGCTTATCATGATGTTGTTCTTCCAGCTATTTCCAAGGATGGACGTCTCACGACAGCCACTTTCATGGCGGAATACAATCAGGACAGATTCATATTGGAGATTATCGCAAAGGAACAGGAGCCGCCGGAGCGGACGGCCAAAGCCACAGTTCACGTGTGGATCTTCAACCCAGAGCAACTCATAAGAGTGATTCTGTCGCGTCCGCCGTCGGAGGTGAATCAGGAGCAGAATGAGATCATCCAGGAGCTGTCTAACGCCACACAGAAGAGAATAATTGTGGACGACATCCGATACCATGTGGACGGCATGGGTAGGATTCGCATGGATTGGTGCGACCTGTACTTCCACGCCGTGGATCCCGAGAACAAGGCGATCGTTCCCGTCGAAGAGGTGCTGAAGGTCGTGGACGCGCACTACGACTTCCTCAAAGACTACTACGCGGGTTTCGCCATTGAGAACGTCGTGCCTGCCCACGCGACGTACGTCCAGGAGGAATTCGACCTGGCCCTGGCGGCCCTCATCGCCCTCCTGATCATCCTCTTCGTGGGCGCCGTGAGCTTCATCGTGCTGTGCTGCTGCCTCAAGCACTGGGTCATCTCAATTCCCAGCGAGACGCGCCGCAAAGACGCCCTCATCAAGAAACAGATCATCGAGGATCTCAACACCACGGAGAATCCCCTCTGGATTGAACAGTAAGACCCATTTAGCATTCACAAACGTGACTCGAGAACATGACAAAAACTCCTCGAGCGTAAACTTTCACCACGAGGGAGAAACATTTAATTGGGACAGTTGGAGTGGCAATTAAAAGAATTCACTGGCGGTGGGCATTAAAATAAAAATTAATTCCCCTTTCGTGTAAAGCGAACATCGTCGGGGAAGTTGGTCTGAGAACAGCCACAGAATGGTTATTCTTTCAATTACCACACAGCAGCTCAAGTGAGGTAACATCTTCGAGACATTATCGCTCTAATTGCGCCAGTTTTCATCAGACTGGAAACTAAATTCTGTCGTGCTGCAGCCATTTACCGTCCCGAGAAGACTCAATTTGCCTCGTGACGTCCCAATTAGGATGCAGGATAGCGCGCTATATTAATATAATATTCCAACATTGCGTCTTTTTCCAGTGGCAAAGCATCCCTATAATTAAATGTCCCTTCCTTCTCTTGCCACCTAAACATAGTCATGACATTGAAGAATTTCCAACCATTTAACACTCGCATCGTGTGAAAAATGGAGTGAAAGGAGTGAAAGCACTCGCCCTGCTGTGCTCATGTGGCGCTGAGGTTTTCAGGCCAACTTAATGTTAGCATCAATTTGCAGTCGAAATAATCGCTAGTTTGTTGAACTTTCAGATCATATTTCAGACAATTTTCGACTGAAATATTATCACTGTATTGTCATTACTTATTTACTCAATTTCGCGACTTTTACATCTCTATTGCAGAAAGCTGAAGTTGTACGAAGAGCAGGAGTTAACAATGCAAGTCTTCTCCGAGCCTGAAATGATGAGCATGAACAATTCGTCGAGTCAGCAGGATGGATTGCCGCTGACACTCAACCGGCGCGACTCGTACGAGACTTCGCAGGGCGGCGGAGACAACACGTATGCCACAATCCAGCCCAGGAACATCAGCTCGCAGGTCGGCGATGGCCTGGCGGACTACGCCACTCTCCGGAACCCGAGCGGAGTTCCTTCTGTGAGTGATAATGCGCTCAAAGCCTTCACTGGCAGCTTCTGATTGTGTTCTAAACACTTTCTCTTGCAGATCTACGAATTTACGGGGTCAACATTCCAAGTTCCTCAGCGAGATCGTTCGGATTTCGTCACAGAACTGATTTGACACTACTAAATCAACGCTGCAGAGTCACTGGGCAGAAGTGTAATTGTAGTAAACTTATCCATTAAGTTGTCCGAAACTGGAATTTTTATATCAGCGACAATAAATTAAGAGAATTCATTTATTTATTGAATGTTAAGAAAAGATAAAATATACTTGCGAGAATGAGCATGAATGAATTGTGCGTAAAAAGTCCTTTATATGACTGATAGTAGGTAAATTATTTTTATATAACACAAACAGAAGAAATGATAAGTGCGCTCAGTATCGCATTAATAATGATGAAAAGTCTTTTAACGTGGTAAAATTGTAGTAATTAATTGCGTCACATTTTTGACTAACATTGTATTGTGAATGAAGAAAAATTTATTCTCATGTTGCAGAAGAGAGAAGATATGTTAAATAGTGTTACTGGACTCGAGAGAAGCGTGGAAGAGGCCGCAAAAGTGCATAAAGAAAAATACTCTCCGTGTAATTCTCGGTATATTTAATAAATCTTTTTATTTACCTTAATTCATGTCTTCTCCACTTTCTTTCACTTCCATTTCCTAAAGTTATCTTTTGTATTTTCAGACAATTTTTCCGACGCATTATTGTGACTTTATCATTTCTCTAACATTACATGTGTTTTCGCACTTTTCTTCTCTCTATCAGTTAAGAATTTAAACTATAAAAGTGTTGGAAGTTGATTGTGCAACAAATAAATATTACTCTCGATATTAATTTACTCTTTGCGCTATTTTAATCATTTTTAGCGCATCTTTTACGAGTTAATCTCTCGGGAAAACTAGGAGGAAAGCAGTGTGGAGGATTTGGGTGTAAAAGACAATGAGACAACTAAGGATTTCCAACGAATGGACAAGAAATGAGGATCAACGGTCAAAATCTGGGAATGAAGGATAATTTATGAAGGCAATCCAAGAGTTTTCCGCACAATTTTTGTGGCAATATTGTTGAACTCCTCGCGATTCTCCCGCCACATGATTGCTGCGTCCACATTGGCGCCGGACTCATCGTTTGGCTCTGCCACAGGACATGAAATTCGAGAATTAGTCGCCCAATTGAATGGGAAACAGACAAACTCACCTGCTAACATTGAGACTACGCTCAAGAGTATCTTCTCCACGCTCTGCACCGGACTCCATCGCTCGGCTGACAGCTCATAGCCCATGGGATCATCTCCTGGAGCATGCAGGATCGAGATACACACCCTACCGTCCGCGAAGACTGTAAGAACACGGACATTACCAAAACAAAAAAAAACTTTTCGGACTGAGCCTCAAGTACGCAACTTACTGTTGGGATGGAACATTTCACAGGTGAACTTCATCTTGGGCGGACTCAGCGGATAGTCCGGCGGGAAGATGAGCTTGGCAGGGAAAACTCCGCCCTCGAAGCAGGTTCCTTCCGGTCCCCTGAAACAGAAACAGTCCGGAAGTTGAGTGAAAATGTCCTAAGATCCCTACCAAATGCAGCCTCACGTTATCAAAGCTTCCCACTCAAAGAAGTTATCCTCACTGATGGGGCCTGCGACGATTCCTTCCGGCGGATTGAGGGTTAATTCTGGGGATGTCCAGGATGGCAGCAAAACAGCCACGGAGAGAAATTTTCATGAGGGATGAGTTGGAAGATGCAACGAAAGTATATCTTTAGTCGGAATTCTAAGCATTTTCAGCCTATACTTACGTTTGTATTCTGCCATGAGGCGCCTCAGGGCTGATCCAGCCATCCTGCTGGAGGAATGTGGGTGTTTTTATTGCGTAAAACTAAAAATTTCTCCGCAATTTGAAGTAATCCATGAGAGTTGGACGTAGATTTTTGACAATGCCAAAGCGCCTTATAAATTTACTTGAAGTATTCTGTCTTTCCGACGAAACTTCTGCACACATTGACGACAAATCTTAGCAATGCAATGAACACAACTGAATATTTACATTAAATGACAAGAATCTAATGAAAATTGGAAATGTGAGTATAAAGTTATTTGCACTTTTGGGAAAAAGTAATGTTAAATATTCTATGAAAGTCGAGATGAACACAGAATAAAGAATATAATAAGAAATGTCCATGGAAACTATAAGAATGTCCATAGGAGTACGTACAGAAATCACAATACAAGTTTGGAAGTGAAATTTCAGCGAAGACATTTACCATTTAATCGGAAAATTTATGGAAATTACCGGTTCATCTATCCCGCTTTTTTACAAAAGCGTAAAAGAATACAAATTCAGAAAAGGCAAGAGGTAGGAATAAGAAAAAAGGGAAGGAGATAGAAGGAACAAAGTGCGATGCAATATTTTTTCGTATTTAGCGAAATTTCAGAGAGATACAAATAAAATTCTGTCTCAAATTTTTCAAATACATGCTATAAAGTTTGACACACGCGAATTCGATCCATAAAATTTTTCCAAGAATATTTCAGCGATGTGTCACAAACATTTTGTGTATATTTTTCTATGACTGGTGATTTTCAGATTTTCATATTGTGTCGTCCAGATATTTCGCAAACGCCTGCAAAATGAACAAGTTCAGTATGCACGAAATGGCAGAGTTAATTGAAATTGTTAAGAATGAGCCAATATTGTGGAGTAAACATATCAGAACATATCGTGGGGCACCTGAGAGGGCGAACATAATGGATAACATTGCAATGCGCTTCAAAAAATCACCTGCAGACGTAGAGAAGTGCTGGAGTGCGATGCGAGAGAAGTACAAGCGCGAGAAGTTCAATGATTCGTCTGAAGTGTCGAGGAAGTACCGAAAGGAAAGGTGGGAACTGATGGATAAGCTCTCATTCCTGGATAGTGTCTATGGTACAGCCCCTTCTAAGCCCCCAAGTAAGCCTCAGAACTTCCAAGTCGGTTCTATTGGTAAGGTTGTTTACGTAGTTTGCTCGTGATAAAATTTCAATGCGCTTCTATTATCTTTTAGTGGAAATTCTTCCTGCCCCAAACGGAAACAATGTGACTGTTCGTCGAATCGCCCCAAAAGCGTTGCCTGTGGTCCCCGGCGAAATTGTTGGAGTGGGCAAACTCAAGTTAGCAAACTTAGCAGATTTGCAAGAGAAACCAACGGAGTCACCAATGCTTCCTGAACACATTAAAATTCCTACATACCCAGCAAATGTCGAAAGAATGGGTTCAATAAGTCCCATCTTCCTCTCGACAAATCACGAGTTCATATCTGAGCAATCAGACGCTACGGACTCCGAGAGGCCAGTCTCACCGGTTTCATCAGTTGCTTCTTCCACGCTCTTCCCAATCAACACAATTGAGAATCAGAACGGATCCATTGAATTCAAGATGAGTCAAAAATCGCGAAAAATCCGGAGGATGGAAAACGAAAGACGGGAACTTCTGAACACCCTGAAAGTTCTAACACGTAGCAAGAGCGCGGCAGAGTTGTATGGAGAGTATTTGACCAAAAAGCTCTCAAACTGGTGTACTGAGAAACAAAACAAAGCCATTAAGATGTTCAACAGAGTGATTTCAGAGGTTGATGAGGATTTTTAGATAACTCAAGGATGAATAAAAATCTATATGGATTTACGTTGTAATTTGAAAAGATAACATTTGACATTCGGGGACTTGTCCGCGGACAAGTGTGGAAGTGCCGGTAAAATTTACGCCACATAATCTAGTGGGTTAGACGTCAGAGTGTTTGCATCGTGTTCGGTTGTTTGTGGCGTTTCTCTGCGATTTATCGTGGAAATTCCATATTTTAGGAGTTTTCATCCTATGAGAAAAGTGCAAAGATGTTTATTCTCTACGAGACACCCGCAGGATATGCGATTTTCAAGGTAAAACTTGCGGAAATTATTACTAAAACCTTTGGTGCCGAATTGAGGTTATGATGCCTTAGAACACGTGTAGAAGTTTACATTTTTTGGCATTATTCCTGTTTATCCTGATGTTCTGTGCTTTTTCTGGCAGCTCCTGGACGAGAAGAAGCTGAAGGAAGTTGACAATCTCTACTTGGAGTTCGAAACACCTGAGAAAGCAAACAGCTTGTAAGTAGAGTTTCTTTCTGTGCTTCCGGCAATCGTTCCATTCGTGATTCCGCCTGAGATCTTTCACGGATTTTTAGTATTGCCGAAGAGTAAATTGTAAAGTCTTCACCTGACGCGAGTATCGCTTCTTGAAAGCGCATTTAATCGTGTCGGTTTTACTCTGTACAAACAGTTCTTTGCATGAGATTCTCTGATACAGTTTGAGTTTGATGCACGCTTTCCTTTCTTTCAGGATAAAATTGAAGCACTTCCAGAAGTTCTCAGACACTACAGAAGCTCTAGCGGCTGCCACTGCTACAGTCGAGGGAAAAGTGTCGAAGCCACTGAAGAAGACGCTCAAGAAGCTGGTCAGTGAAGATGTCCAGAACAAACTTCTCGTGGCGGACGCAAAGCTGGGCAATGCCATCAAAGACAAAATGGCTCTGCAATGCGTCTCCAATTCAGCTGTCCAGGAGCTTCTGAGATGCATCAGAACGCAGTCGGAATCCTTGCTCTCAGGACTGCCGAAGAAGGAAATGACAGCGATGGCTCTCGGATTGGCACACTCGCTCTCGAGATACAAACTGAAGTTTTCCCCTGACAAGATCGACACAATGATCGTTCAGGCGCAGTGTTTGCTAGAGGATCTGGACAAGGAGCTCAACAATTACATGATGAGAGCGAGAGAGTGGTACGGATGGCATTTCCCAGAGCTGGGGAAAATCGTAACGGACAACATCGCATTCGTGAAGACAGTGAAGCTGGTGGGAATGCGAGAGAATATGGGACAGACGGATCTGTCGGATATTCTGCCGGAAGACGTGGAGGAGAAGGTGAAAGAAGCCGCTGAGATATCGATGGGCACGGAGATATCAGAGGAGGACATTCTCAACATTCAGCAACTGTGCGATGAGATAATCTCCATCAATGAGTACAGAACACACTTGTTCGACTATCTCAAGACTCGCATGTTCGCCATAGCGCCAAATCTCACAGTTTTAGTGGGAGAGTCAGTTGGAGCGCGTCTTATTTCCCATGCTGGATCTCTCGTGAATCTGGCAAAGCATCCAGCGTCGACAGTGCAAATCCTAGGCGCTGAGAAAGCGCTTTTCAGGGCACTGAAGGCGAAAAAAGACACTCCCAAGTACGGATTGATTTATCACGCCCAACTTGTGGGTCAAGCCAGCGCCAAGAATAAGGGAAAGATTTCCAGATCGCTGGCGGCAAAAGCAGCGCTTGCAACAAGGGTGAGTTTTCTTTTATTGTGCAAAGGATATTTACGATTCGTTAATTACCGTAACGAAACGTAAATACCTCCCTAACATATTTCATTATGTTTTTATATAAATGATGATATCGATCCATGGTTTCGCTTTTGAGAATGACTCTGAGAGCATGATTATCTCACTGTTCACTTGGCTGTCTGATTCTATCTTTAGACACTGCCTATATTTTGTGCACGATGTGGTAAGAGATTCAATTCTGAACGTCTTCTCTCACAGGTTGACGCTTTTGGGGAGGATGTGAAGTTCGAATTGGGTGCTGAGCACAAGGCGAAGCTGGAGTCTCGCTTGAAATTCCTCGAACAGGGCAGTCTTCGGCGATTGTCCGGCACGGGCAAGGCGCAGGCCAAATTCGAGAAGTACCAGGGAAAGAGTGAGATCAAGACGTACGAGTCTGCGTATGACAGCACTCTGCCGACGAGCAGCAAGAAGCGAAAACATTCGGAGAACGCGGAAGAGACGCCCAAGAAGTTGATTGAGGAGATCCAAGAGGAGGCCGAAGGATCGCAGGAGTCGCCCAAGAAGAAGAAGAAAAAGAAGAAGGCCGCCGAGGAGGAGGAAGTCGAAGTGCCGGCGCCCAAGAAGGTGAAGGTGGAGGCGCAGGAGGAGCCAGCCGAGGAGGTGGTGGAGAAGAAGAAGAAGAAAAAGAAGAAATCCAAGACGGAGGACGAATAAATTTGGCTCTTCTAATTCTCTAAAAGTCGAAATTATGCAAAATGACCGTCATATTTTAAATGGCGAGCGCCTGAGAGATTGTGAAGTAGCGAGGAAATATAAATTCAGCCGGAAAATGAATCAAGGAGGAACAATAAAGAAAATGAAAATGGTCCGAAGTGGAAATTCTCCTTCAGCCCATGTGTTCTGGATGAGAGCGGCGGGCGAGAGATGGGCTTCCCGGGCGGGATTTTGGAGTCCTCGAGCGCGATTGCCGAGCGAGAGAGTGTGAGAATAAGCAATGGAAATAACCGTTGAGGATTAATATTTGATGTGAATTGTTCTCTCTTCCTGCGCCCCGCGCCAGCTCTTCGTGACCGCCGTCTTGGCGGCGGCAGAAGAATATGTAATAAAAAAAAAGCTGGCAGTGGAGAAGGAAAAACCAATTGTATATTGCGTTTTGTGTGCAAATCTTAAATTCAATTTTATTGCAGGCTTCCCCTCTAAATTATTGCAGCGTTATTTTTTATTGCACTTTTCAATCATTTGCAATATATTGCCGAGTCCGCCCGCGCCCGCAGGGTGAATTTGGGGCTGGAAAACGGCCCTGGGGGCGGCAGAAGACAATAAAAATCTTATTACGAGCTCCTTTGCACTCTGCTCGCATTCTTCACATCTCCTCTTCGGCCTTCCACCCTCACTTTTCACCATCCGCAGGGATATTTCATCCACTCTCTGCTTTTTTCCCTCCTGCAAAGGATGTAATTTATAAAAATCGCCAAGTAATGAATTAGAGTAGTTTTTCACGCTGTATACAAGGAAGGGCCGAAGGGACGGAGAGACTGGAGGGCAATAGAGTGATAATTGTGTAATTACATGGACAAATTGTATCTCATTTCACTGTCAGTCACTGTTACGAACACGAGTAATTTACAGGGTGGTTGAAATGAAACTCTTCATCCTATCTCATCAGCAGCAGCTCAACTCACCCTCAGTTTAGCATCTTGGAGGAAAAGTGATGAAGTTATTTTTCACAGCACAAGCACTAGAAGCACTCTAATGTGCAAAAGTTATTCTCAACTCTTCTCGCTTTTTCTTACATCACCCAGAATATTGAACAGTTCTAATTGTAATCGTGCAGAAATGACATTTTATCATTTAATTAATAACAACTCACGGAGAATTAAAAGACATCGATTAGTATCTAGATATAATTCTAAGATAAAATGATGTTATTTTGATCAAGTATTATATAAAATATAATGCAAAGTCAGTGTACTTAGTATAAAAGTTTATTTTCGCCATCGAAACATTCTGGAAAATTGACATTCTTAATCTAATGTGGGATTCCAAAGAGGAAATGGGATATGGAGTGTTTTTGGGTCAATGTGAAGTGACTTTTGAACACCTGTCGGTTTTTCACTGACCGATATTGATTTCCCAATTTTTTCTAATCTTCCTTATCAATTATTGAAATGTTGGAAAACCATTAGAGCCATTTTCTCTTCGGAGCGTCAAAAATATAGTTTTATCTACTGAAATTGAAATGAATTTCACCAGCTTTCTTGGTGAGAAATGCTAAGACTCTTGTGATCAAAAGCTGACTGAAATGAGAAAATCCTGCAAGAGAAGAATAAATTCTTTTGTTCTCCATCTCGAAAATTCATCCTTTGTCCTCCCTGCCTTGAAATCCTCGGGATGCGAGTGTGTGTGTGTGTAGTGTGGAAAATTTCATTGTGAACTCAAATGGTGTTATATGCAAAATACTGAGTTTGTTATCCGCCCTCGGTGCGGAGAGGGAGGCTTTAGCGCGAAAATCCCCACATTTGGTGGAATATGCCCGAGAGTTGGGGCGGCAGAGTGTAAATGTCTTTCCTTTTTTTCGGAGTGGAAGAAAAGGAATAAGATGAAAAGTACATTGTAGAGATGTTTCCTCGCATTTTTGCCATTTTGTATGTTTTATTCACAAAATGGCAAAATGCTTTTTACAAATTGTTTTGTTTTTGTTTTATTTTTATTATTATCTTTGTGCCGCACGTAGAATTTTATTAGTTAGTTTCCTTTCTCGCGCCACTTGTCCCTCCGCCCTTTCCATCTACACTCATTGTCGGCGCTCGGAAAACTTATTCACATAATAATTCTCACTCCTTGGGATGTGCAATGCCTCTCTTAGAATGGGCGGAATAGAACCCGAGATCAAACTCCAGAGCTTCATTCTGTAAGCGTTCGGAAAAGCCAGAGTGTTTATGTAGTTGGTAACGAAAATCTTGAGGTTTTTTTTCCTAATTCTTTCTGCTCTTTTTCGTGATCTTGAAATTTGACAAAATTGTTATAACTTTCCTAAGCAATATAATTTCAAAGGATTTCTCTGAAACGTCTGAAACAAAATCGAGTTATAATGTTTGAATTTATTGTTATGGCGAAAACTTCAGTTATGCTAAATTGTCTAATACTTGAGTTTAGTTTCAAATCGCTTTTGCCACATTCCGATTAGGTCGCATTTTCACATCTTGCCGTAAGCTAAAGCATACGCGTAGCTTATCGTGTGCTTTTCCATCTTATGAGGGCGTGTGGAGTGGCTGAGGGAGCTTCAATAAAAATATTTCCATGCAGACACTATTTGCCGTCGTTTGCAACACAAAGGTACATTTAGAGAATTATTTCTGGATGCCAAATTGGGGATTGACAAATGTTTGATGTCACTCCGAATCCCTTCTATTTCAGTGGCTTGATTATTAATTCGCATCGTCAATCCTCTCGATGCACTTTCTCACACCTCCGCAAAATTTATCGTCTCTTCTCTGCATCTCTCACGTAAATCCCTGACATTTGTTTTCCATTCTGTGGTTCTGCATAAGCCACAAACTCTCAACTAATTTGTGGCTACCCATCATTGAAGGATCCTCCAATTCGCCAAAACAACTGTCCATGCACTGTTCGTATGAAGAATTTACGTGAAATCCGAGATTTTCATTCCCCATTCGTCGTTAAAGTGCCTCCAAATTGGCTATTTTAGCCACTTTCCGAACTTTCATTTTCCCAGGAGAGTTCAATTGTCGAGAAATAGACTCACTCTTTAATACATTATCCTGCAGAAAGCATCCTCAAAAGTCCTGCAAGATAGGAAAGCTATAAATGAATTTTCGTGTGTGTGCCAAAGGTAAATTTATTGAATTATCGAGGTGAAATTCTTCGGCTCCATTTTTCTTCTGTGTCCTTTTTTCTTCTCCTCACTTCAATGTCTCTTTCCATAAAGTGTTATTTATGTGTTTTGCCATTTCCACTACAGCTCTCGAGATGAATCAATCTTACTTTTTTTTCTCTTACCGGGGAACATCTCTTTTCTCCCCTTTTTGTCCAGTTAAAAGAGAGAAATTTTCCTTTAGGCTGTAAATTAATTCTATGCCAGCTTTTTGATTGATTGTCCTAATTATAAAATGTGACAGCAATTAGTGGAGTTTTCAAGAAGGTTGAGCGCCTTTTCCCAGCCACGAACCACCCTCGTTGATTTTCTTTCACTGAAATTAGGGTCTTAGGGCTATTTATGGACTCATTTCTAATGAGAAGTGACATCCAAGATCAACGGAGTTTTCGTAAATTGTCTGAAAATAATTGATGGTGGGAAATTTTTTTATTAGGCAGAGATTGAGACAGGTTTAACCACGAATTTCAGATTCAAATTTGTGAGAATTTCCGAAAAGGGGATGAGTTAGAGAAAAACTAATTTAAAAGAAATTTCATGCGCAAGGAAATTCCGAATTTTTTCTTATGCAAATTAGCAGAAATTTATTTGTCAAACAAATTTCTAAATGAACACAAATCTTTAAGCGTGGATTGATAGGAAACTGATAAGCTTCTGACACTAACGCATATGCAAATCCCCTTGGATAATATCTCTGTGACCTTTACTGGTGCTGCGCCGGAAACCAGAAGAATTCCCGCCCATCTGCTTGACAGGTCTCACAACAATGTGATAATTTTCACTGATCCCTCTGTCGTGCGGAGAGGGTAAATTTTCCGCCCTGAATGGCCCTTTTTCCACCCATTTCCTATTGTATATCCATTAACAGACAAGAACAGGATTTATCCATTGCGAAGTGATTGTGCATGAGGGCGAAATGTGGGATGAATCTGAGAGGGGTGGAATTCATCCTCATTGATGCAAATGCGATATGGTTTAAAAATCTATTAACGGTGGGCTTTGAATACATCAACTGGCAAGAGGATCACCGAAGAAATTACACCGAGGGTTGCTCTTTTGCTGCATTTCCAGTGCTAATTTCTATCACTGTTTTCACCCCTCGTTTTTTGACAAGCTCGTCACCCTTCGCGGACGCTGTTATTCCGAGCCATTGAGTGGGGAATTTGAAGTGGCTCACAGAGAATTTCACACTAATTCCTGTGAGGTGGATTATACAAATCACGCGAAAATCCTACTTGAGGCTCAAGAGCGCGAAAAAGGGTGAGGAAATCAACCCTTTGCATCTTTTAGCGTTCTTCCTCACTTCCACTGTCCAAAACTGATAGACAGGTTGTTGGACTGCGCACAGTCTATCTGTCGCGTGTAAAAATAGGCGAATTGGAAGGAAATCACGCCAATACTGAAGGGAAGGTTGTCAATTTGAATTCTGCCACATTTTTAAAGTGTCGGCAGAATTTTCTATCGAATTTTCATGTCATAAAATGTCCATCATTTTTTCTGCCATTCAAAGTCCCTTTCAATCACTATGGGAAATTTTGGATGGATATTTTACAGACAAAATCAATTAAAGGCTCCGTGGGAAGAGAGAAACTAGAAAAGGTTGTAGGGAAGCCGTAAATTACGAGGACATAACTTGTACATAACTTGGACTCTGAGGTACATGTAATTTTAAGGCACTCACTGATCTCAAGATGAATCCTTTCTCTGGGTGATGAAGGGCGAGAGCGAGTGATTTCGAGTGGGCGGTGGACATGGTGGTTGGGGAGAGTGAGAGTGATTTCATGTCAAGTTTGGAAGTTGAGTGGCCTCTTGGAATGACACCAAAGGGAATCCCGAGGAGAAATGGTCAAACTTTGATTAGTGTCCTTTATCCGTCCAATGATCTCGGTGTCTCACAAGGAGGGATTGCACAGTAAACTCTTCCTTCCCATTTGATTTTTCCCTCCGTTCAATCTCTGCCCGATTGAAGTTTTAAGT